AGTGGAGGGCCTACGGTCTGCCTAGTTGGCACCAATTTGGTTCCAATCTGAAGCAGCCAAAATTTAATGCATAAAACGTGGTTACAAATGGCTGTTTCCAAAGGATTTTAAAAAACGTTTGTATTAATTCACCCCATTTCCACATGCACTTTCTCTTAATGTTTTTGAACCCTGGCACTTTGTGACACAGAGTAAAAGGCAATCCTGTATTCTATGGTGGTACAGAAACAGTTTAGGAGGGAATTGAGTTGATGCCAGATGGTTTTGACAGGCAGAGAATTATATATTGAGCAAAAATCTGGGCCACAATGGGCAGATTATGTATTCTATATACAGTTGTGAAATCCACTAGTTTAAGCATCAGTCGCAGGTTAAAATCTGTCGTAGTCTTGACCAGAACATTATACATGGGAAGTATACTGTGGGTATGGCACAGTGGAATTGAAAGGAAAGCAAATAAATAATCCTTGCATCTGTCAGAAGGCCGTCTAAAAGCGCTTCACAAGATATATTGAAAAGTGTGTATTTCTTAGGCAAATATGGTGTTCAATTTTCACACAGCGGAATCTCACCATGAAGCGAGTGACCAAGTTTATCTGCAGCTCAGGTATAGCTTCTGGAGGGAAATGTGAATGAAACTTCATTGGAGCCAAATTTTTCTTCCCAACAATGTCGACGACTATTTTGGTAGTGTTCGTTTTGCGTAAGATGAACACACAGCTCCTGCGACTTTAAATACATTTGCATTTGCGGTGTAACTATCACCTTTGGTACATCTAGAAATGGAAACAATGGCATGTGAAGAGATGCTTGAAATAGTTAACTCAATAGTTATCCAATCTGAAGCAATAGACCATTCCGATTGCAAAGTATGAACAGAATGTGCGATTGTCCGATAGCAGGCGCCACTGTTATTGCCAGGTAAAGGTGCCTGTCTGCTCCTATCGTGACTGCTTGAGTGACGGGCTCCAGCCACGAGGCGTGGAGGCAGGAAACTTGGCGAAGGTTGATTAGAGTGAGCAGCTTGTGAAAGGACAAGAAAGAAAGAAATAGGAGGGAGAGGATGAGTGGAGTGGGGACAACACGATCTTAAGAGTTAACTCTTGCCAACGAGGTTTAGTTTTGTTAGCATTGGTCACTCATTGACCTCCCACCCCAGTTGGGTCTGGCGTTATTTTTTTCAATTTCATTTTATTTTTGAAGCTTCCCTGGTGACTGCTGGCACTCAAGCAGTCACTAGAGGAGCAGACAAGCGCTTCCGGAGCTGGGAAGAGGTTAGTCCAGGTCCGAGCGAGTCTGGCCCCTTCTTTCTGAAGCCCTCTCCTACATAAACATAAGGGGCAAAACCTTAGGTAAGTTTCCTTACACCACGAACACGCCCCTGTTTACCTGGCAGTAAGTAGGAACCTGCTTGTTTGTCGATTGATGAATCGATTTCCGTAGGTATTCATCCCTTCAAAAATAAAATGAAGTTGAAAAAAAATAATAATTTGGCCACTCAATCCACGACTGTTTGTGGGACGCTGCTGTGCGCAATTGGCTGCCGCGTTTCGCCCACAAAATACACAGTCTCTCCACTTTACAGTATATTCTGTGAAGCGCTTTGAGACGTCTCGAAGATGTGATAAGGCCCTATATCAAATTCAAGGGTTATTATTGAAGGGGGCTGTATATACTCAAGTTGGTGGTGGTTGTTTCAGATGGTGTTTTGCCCTACATTTCCCGTTCCGCCTGCGGTCCTGGGGTTTTGAGTGTTGGCAGATCGTGGGAGCATCACAGCCATGCCTGATCCGGGATGGGGGCTGGTGGTGGCGGTTGGTGGGAGGAAATCTCACTGGGAACAACACAATGGGATTTTAGAGATATGGTGTGGCAACAGACCATTCGGTCTAACTAGTCCGCACTGTGCTATAACTCGATCCAGATCAAGGTTTATTTGTCCATCCAAACTCTCAATAATTCACCATTCTAAACCACACACTTTGTCTCACTCCCAGTGTCTGTTTGTACCTCCTGACATTCTTCTTATTGGCCCTTTTGTTAATTATTAATTTACTCAATAACAGCAACAAATTACACTTGTATAGCACCCTTCACGTCGGAAAGACGTCCCAGGGCGCTGGGCAGTCGGGTTTTTGGACCCGAGGGGGGAGGGAAGACTCATCTCAAGACCTTTCACCCTGCTTCCCCCCCTGCCCTCCACCCTCCCCAATCCCAACCCCCAACTCAGGTCTGAAACACTGATGCCTTGGGACGTCTTGGGACAGCACCTTGGGACGTCCTCCTGATGTGAATAATAATAATATTATTATTTTGTTGTGTTGTTGTCTTTATTGTGTGAGCTCATATTATTTTCTGATTATCCACCCTTCAGATGAGACGTTGAAACCCAGGTTCTGTCCATGCCCGCTCAAGTGGGCATTGAAAGGGTTAACTGGTTTTCAAAGTGCGTTTCTCCCGAAATGCAGATATGACACCATTCTCTGGTGAATTGTGTTTTTTTTCTCCTCCAACCAACCAACCCACCAACCACACCCTCCCCCATTTACTACCATTTTCTCTCCATCGAAGCATTCTGCTTGAAGGACTGTACATGCAGTGTAGAGCTGTTAATGTTTTGCTTAACTGATATTAACTATGACTCTGCCCTCACCTCCCACGCACTTGGGCACCATCAACAATATTACTTCTAACTACGCATCTTCCGATAGTAAGACATTTCGTCTCGCAACTTGCATTTCAACCTGTGTCAACGCCGGCTGTCTTTTTTTTAAAAAAAGTTGCAAATAAGTTAAGAAACTCTTCAGGAGAAGTTCGAAGAACTTTCTTGTGTTTGTTCCATCACCATTTGTGGGTGGTGGTGCCAGGAGTGAGGATACGATCAAAGAGGAAGGTCTTTAGACGGGACTTGAAAGAAGCAAGAGAGGGGGTGAGGCGGAGGGATTGCGGGATAGAGTTCCAGTGTGTGGGAGCAGAGATGCTGAATGCCCGACCACCAATGTAGGCCGGTGTCCGTCGAGCGGAGGGAGCGGACAGACTGATATAGGGTTATGAGGTCGGAGAGTTAGGAGGGAGCAAGACTGTGGAGGGCCTTGAATGTAAGAACGAGTGTTTTGTACTCGATTCTCTGAGAAATGGGGAGCCAGTGAAGCCGGGCAAGAATGGGGGTGATAGGTTCCCGGAGTTTGGTGCAGGAGAGGACACGAGTTGCAGAGTTCTGAATAATCTGCAGCTTGTGGAGGGAAGAGTTGGGAAGTCCAGTGAGCAGGCAGTTGGCGTAGTCAAGCTGGGACGTGATGAAAGCGTGGATCAGGGTCTCGGCGGCCTGCGGTGAGAGGCATTGGCGGAGGCGGGCAATGTTACGTAGGTGTGCAACGGGTTACGGCACGAATGTCGGGTTTCAAGTATAGCTGAGGGTCGAAAAGGACACTGAGGTTTCGGATTGGGTCGGTGAGGTGAAGAGTGCAGCCATGCATGGTGATAGTGTCAGTGGCTGAGGTGTGAGGAGGTGCTGCTGGAAGCCAAGCAGGAGGGCCTCTGTCTTGCCAACATTGAGCTGGAGGAAGTTGGCTCTCGTCCAGGACTTCATGTCAGACAGAGGGTGGAGGTGGCGAGATAGAGTTGGGTGTTATCCGCATACATGTGGAAGGAAATTGACCCCATGCTTGCAGATGACATCACCAAGTGGGAGCATGTATAGATTGAAGAGGAGGGGACTGAGGACAGAGCCCTGAGCAACTAGAGGGGGCTAGAGGAGAAACCGTTGGTGGCTACGAAGTGCAGACGGTGGGAAAGGTAGGATTGGAACCAGGCAAGAACAGAGCCATTGAGTTGGAGGTGAGAGGAGAGGTGGTGGAGAAGAATAGAGTGGTCAACAGTATCGAAAGCGGCCAAGAGGTTGAGAAGGACGAGGAGACAGAGAGAGCCCCGGTCGCAGGTGGACAGAATGTCATTTGTCACTTTGACCAGGGCTGTCTCTGTGCTGTGGGCAGCACGAAACCCAGATTGGAGAGGTTCATGGAGGGAATGCTGAGAGAGGAAAGAGAGAAGCTGGGAAGCGACGAATTGTTCCATGACCTTTAACGGAAAAGGCAAGTTTAAAATGGGGCGGAAGTTAGAGAGCAGGGATGGGTCAAGGGAAGGTTTTTTTGAAAGTAGGGGTAATGAAGACTATCTTTAGGAGGATGGGTTCAGTGCCAGTGAACAGGGAGAGGTTAACAAGATCTGTTAGTAGGTGGGAAAGGAGGTGGAGCTGGGAGGTGAGGAGAGCGATTGGGATGGGATCAAGGGAGCAGATGGTGAGTTTCGTATGGGAAATGATGGAGGTGAGCTAAGAGGGGGAGACAGGGTCAAATGTATGGAGGGAGGGATGGGGGGGTGCTGGAAGGGGAGCGGGAGGTGGTGATGGGGTGCTGGTAGAGGGGCTAGAGGCGGCAGAGTGGATTCCCTCAATTTTGGACTCAAAGAAATCCATCATCTTCTCGCATTTGGTGTTGGAGTAGAGGATGACAGAGGCGTGGGAGGGTGGACGGAGGAGTTGGTTTGTGGTAGATTTTGGAATAAAAGAATGACTTAGCTGAGGCGAGGACAGAGACCCTCAAGACCCTCCTCTTGAACCGTGCCTTTGGTCACCCTCCTACCCCTACTCTCCTCGCCCTCCACCCCTCCTGAGCCCAACCGCCAGCTCGAGTGGGTGTCCCTCGGCTGCTATCCAGCGCCTTGGGACATCTTCCTGATGTAAAAGGCACTGTACAAATGTAATTTATTGTTGTTGACCACAGCATGCAGTTTGCACACAGCAGCATCTTGCAAATAGCTAGGGAATATATGACAAATTGTATCGGGGGGAGGGGGTGGGGGGGTGGGGGTTGGATTGTTAGCCTGGACACTGTGAGAAACTCCTTTTTTTTTCAAACAGTGCCATGGGATCTTTTAATGTTCACCTGAACAGGCAGACAGAGCCTTGGGTTAATGTCTCATCGACAATGCAACCTCTACCAGCGCTGAAAAGACTGCCACTCCAGTTCCAGGGTAAATTCCCGATGTAGAGCTTGAAGTCACAAGATTCAGCCAAGCTGACACCTAACCTTTGGCAAAGGAATGGAGTAGAACCTGCTAACCTATGATTGGAAACACCAGGCATTTCTGTGGTACTTTTGTTCCGCAATAAAGAAAGGGCCACTTCCTTATTTACATTCAACACTGAGCTTTGGGTGTCACAATTAAGAAAAGGTAAATATTGAATATCGAGCTGTTGTGAAATAAGATCGTTGTGGAGAGCAGTCGAATAGATCTCAAAATAGTTGATTATTTTTTTTATGTCAAAGAGTAAGTGTGTGGTGAGTGGATGGAGTTAACGCGTTCAGTTGAAACATAGGCTGACGTCACTCTTGTAGGTTGGACTTTGAATTCTTGCTGAAGGGATTTCACGTGCGAGCCTGTCAGAGAGCAGGCAGCAAGGTCTTTTTTGGAGAGAGAGTGAGTGAATGAGTGCCTCTTTGGGAGTTTTTTTTCCATTTAAAAAAAAAGAAATCTTAAAAAAAGGAGGAAGCGTTTAATCTGAAGATGGCACACGATCAAAATGGCAGTACTTTAAAATACGTTCAGGGTTCAGTCAGAACGAAAATTCCAAGACCAGCTATTTGTCCACAGCACCTCCGCAGACACTCACTGGGCTCTTTTGCTCCGAGGTAAGAGGTCTCTTTATCGTTCAATTAATATTACATTATAATTCAGAAACTAGCCTTTTTGTTGCAAGCAATGTTGCTGGCTCTGACTTTGCTGAAACCCAGAGGTTATAAACTTATTTCCTCTCCTCATTTAGAATTACATTTAATACAGTATTTAATTGGAATAAAAACCTTGTAACAATCCCTCTGCCGGTGCTTGTGGAAATTAATTTGGGGATCATTTTGTTTCAACGCTGCTTTGAAGGGTTTCTTGTGTGTGGACGTTTCTCTGTCGGTTTTTGTTGGCCTTTTACCCACAAATATATATTTAGGAAAAATGATTTACTCCAAATATCCTGTTTAGAAACTGGGTGTTTCTAAGTAAGTAAAATAAGTTCTGTAACTTTAAGTAATCGCTGCATACAGTGTTTCAGCACTGTTTGTTGTTGCTTCCAAGTGAAAGATGTGTTGGATTGGCATTTAAAACCCATTCCCTACAAAGCGGTGCCTAATTTAAATGGGTTGTAATGTGGACCTTCTGGAAGGGGAGGTTTGTCGCATCAGATAGAGACAGACACAAAGATGAGCCAAGGACCCAAAGAAGTGACTTAAACTAGGCTGAAAAATCCCCAGAAAGTTTCACAAGTCTACAGAACATACTGATCTTCTCCATTGCCAGAGTGTTCTCTTATTGAATGAATGTGGTGTGAGATATAGTTCTACTTTCTGCCCAGGTGGGATAGATTGGAATGACTCTCTCTCTCTCTCCAGCGAGGAGACAGAGATAATAATCCTTGCATTTGATAGAGCACCTTATCACCATGTCGAGGTGTCTCAAAGCACTTCACAGGATATACAGTTAAGTGCATTGACTGCATTTTGTGGGCAAAACACGGAAGCCAGTTTGCGCGCAGCATTGTCCCACAAACAGCCGTGGATTGAGTGACCAATTTTATTTGGGGGATTGTTGACCAGGACAGTTTTCTCCTGGCGTTCTGGCCGACGGTCCTATCAGAATGAAGTCAGTTAATCACTCCATGGCTGTTTGTGGGACTTTGCTGAGTGCAAATCGGCCACTGCGTTAACGTACAAATACACGGGTTACTACACTTTACAGTACAGGTCTTTTTGAGATATTTTGACCCAATAAGGCGCTCTATCAAATGCAAGGATTATATTTTTGTCGTTCAATTTGCTCAGCGACAATTGTCATCCTACTTAGATGTGAATTAAGATAAAATATTGAAATAAAGTATAAACTGTAGAAAGTTCAGTTTAGCTCTACAGGTTTCCATTCTGGAAAGACAATGATGTGGAGAAGAAGTAGCTGATCAAAAATAAGTAGGTCCCAGAAGAAGACTTAGGACACATTTCCACTGAACTTTTAATTGTGAAGTTGAATTTTTCACATTTATTTCAACTCTAAATGATTCCATGTGTCCCGCTTTATAATGCTTTTTTTAAAATTAAAACCCATTTTCAACCAAACATTGCCCACAGATATTGACCACTCGCTTCATCACTGTTTGCTGGATATTGCTGTGCCCAAATTGCCTGCAACCTTTGCTGACAGATACAAGTAAAATCCTGTGAGACATCTCAACGACGTGATAAGGCACTGTATCAAATGCAAGGATGCGTTCTATACCCCCTTTTAAGTTGGGAAGACATTTCAAAGCATCTCACAGATTTCACTGTAAAATGTAGAGATTGTATATTTTAGTGGCTGAACCCAACAGCCAATTTGCGAACAGCAATATTTCCCAAACAACCATTAAGTGAAGTGAATGATCCCTAGCATTAGTGGAATGAGTTATGTGAGCAACGATGGGATGGGAGTTAAACTGATGTTAAGGTTTTTAAATTCTTCTTAGAAGAGTTGTACATTAACATTGGTGCGTTACTTATTAAGCTTATATAAAAAGAACTTTCTGCCTTCTGTCCAAACAATTTGGCACAATGTCGATCCTCTCAGGCTCAGTTTTGCCATTCATTTACCATGCCATCTGTTGGTTATCAGTGAATCGGGTCAGTTTATTATCCTTTAAGAAGGAGCACAGTCGAAAGCAAGTGCAACACTGCAACTGGAAAATAACTCTGAAAACTGTTGAGACGTTTCAGGTTTCTGATTACAGTATTTTACCACATTAGCAGTTGAACATTCACAGTTACTGATTTTCTTGGCTTTAATATTAATGGGTTGTTATTGTACATTGCAGTGCTGGGGATGGTTGTGGGAGGTGCCGTCGTTCGGATGAGACGTTAAACCGTGGTCCAGTCTGCCTGTTCAAGTGGACTTTAAAGATCCCATGGCACAATTTAAAAACAGAAGGTTGTTTCTCACAGTGTTTTTGGCCAACAATCCCCCAGATAAAATTGGTCATTTACTTCAGGGCTGTTTGTGTGACATTTCTGTGCACAAGTCAGTTGCTGTGTTCACCTACCAATACACAGACACTCCACTTCACAGTAAGATCCCATGAAGTCCTTGGAGATGTCCTCTCAATGTGGAAGGTGTTATATCAAATGCAAGGATTATTATTATTAACTGGTAAATGGACGACTGTGTTCAATTGAGCCAGTTATATTGGGCTAAAGGCTGAAAGCAGGGTTAATGTGCCTTTGTCGTCTAAACATAATTACATTTTATGAAATTTTAGCATAATGTTAAACTCATGACATTTGTGCTTCCAAATTTCAGCGCCTTGGGACGTCCTCCCGCGTGAAAGGCACTATACAAATGTAATTTGTTGTCACTAATGGTCCACATCAAGAATGACTATTTGGACAAGATACTAGAGACAGACTGGCGCACATGGGAGCATACTCTAGCGTGAGTTAGTATCATCAGGAAAGGTAGGGGAGAGGAAAGAATGCAAATTTGTACGCGGCTATTTTCAGCCCTCCTTTCGCAGTGTGCATTATGCATAGGAAGTAGAGCCACAGGAACTTTGCTTTCAGCCTTTGATCTTTTTGAATATTTTTCAATGCAAAACCATTCCGGAGGTGCAAACAAATGACCTGTTTATCTCTTATCCCCTGTTGATTTTCGAATGCAAACTCTTGTACGTCATTTCAGTAAGTATTTGCACAGGGACTGTTACTTGAGTCTTGTGACAAGCAGGCTCAGTCTCCACTCAGCCCTGTGATATTCAAAACCTCTCTGGGTTTTCAAGTCCGTTAGGAGATGAAGATGCTACAAATGGAAGGCCCTTTTTGTTTTATAGCAATAATAATATAATAATAATCCTTTTATATAGCACCTTATCACGTCGTTGAGACGTCTCAAAGTGCTTCACAGGATATATTGTAAAGTGGTTTATTTTATTGTACGTTTTATTTTATGGTATGTTTGTTCAAACAATTGCAAGCTTGGCCGCTCAAACTAATAGCAGATTGTTTTTATCATTTTCTTTTATTTAATGCATATGTAAAATATTTCTCTCCCTCTCTCCGTATAATACATATAATTATTGCATTTAGTGCAGTTTCTTTCACGTCAGGAGGCCGTCTCAAAGCCCTTCGCAGAATATACTGCAAAGTGAATTGACTGGATATTTTGTGGGCAAGACATGGCAGCCAATTGTGCACAGCAGCGTCCCACAAACAGTGGATTGAGTGACCAATTTTTTTAAAGGGATTATTACCCCTGGACTAGCGATCCGCCATTCGTAGGAAGTAGGAACCTAACAACTAGGCTCCTACTTACTGCTAGGTGAACAGTCACGTATGGAGTAAGGAAACTTACCCAACATTTCGCCCTGTCCAGGAATCAAACTAGGTCCTCTCGCTTGTGAGGTGAGTGCTCTGACCACTAAGCTACAGGACTCCCAGTTATATCTTTCCCCATTAGTTTGTTATTGCTGCAATTAGAGGATTGTAGATTCTTCAGAATAACACTACCTTCTTATGAGACCCTGGGACTCATTTAACAGATGGCTTGATGCTGTGATGGGAGGACATTAGGTGGGTATTATGGATGGATGAGATCAAATCTTCTGAACCAATCTTGTGATTGGTGTTTGCCTACAAATACAGTCACTACACTTTACAGTAAGTCTAGTAAAGTGCTTTGTAAAGTTAAATGAGGCGCACTCCTGACACGCGAGGAGTATATATGTGTGTGTGTTTGTCTGTGTGTGTGTGTGTGTGTAATCCTGGATTTAATTCAATATAATAACCAATGCATTTCACAAACCCATTTTGATTGTGATTTTGACTGTTTTCAATGTATTTGTGCTGTAGCTGATGGGATGTTAAAGTCTCTCACTGTAGAGAAAGGTGTGCAGTTATTACAGTACCTCTTACAAAAAGGCTTTTGTTTTTTTTGGCCTCTTCCGCCTGCCCCCCCCCAAAAAAAAACAGGTCGATGTCAAATCCTCCAGCCATGAGCCAGGCTCCGGGCAAGCATTTGCAGGAGCAGCTGTCCTCTGATTGCTCCAGTTCCCTGGATTCACTGGACAATCTGTCTATGGACGACTATTGGACTGAAGTGGAGAACATCAAGGAGAGCCACGGGAGTGAGCCTGATGATAATAACGTGGAGGTGAAAACGCCAGAGGGTGAGTCGTCGGCAAGTTAGACTTTAGAAAGGAACTGACTGCAGCTCAGGATAAAATGCTTTCCCTTTGAAGTGTTCAAGTGCATATCCCCAACTGTCCACCGTCTTGGAACGTTCCCCCTGACGTTGAGAGGCGCTATACAAATGTAATTTGTTGTTGTGTATACTGTCACTGTTTCAAAAGTGTGCAAAAAGGACAAACCAGTGACTGATTTGTTCAATGGTTTGAAACCTGCTGGTGTGAACAGATTTCTCTTCTCCTCCCCCCCCCACCATTAAAACAAATGGGAGAGGAATTCTTCTAACGCTTCGCTTTATGGCTGTTTGTGGGACGTCACTGTGGGCAAAATCGATGCACTTTAACAGTATACCCTGTGAAGCGCTTTGAGATGTCCTCCTGACAAAAGGGCGCCATGCCATACCATAAATTTATGCCCTAAATCAAGAATTATTCAATCAAGAAAAAACAATAATTTAACAGAGTCACCGAGACTAGTGCGCACATGTGGGGAGCCATCTTGACGGCCCTCAGGATCACTTTTGGCCCGCGGGCCATAAGTAGGCCACCACTGGACTAAACAAATGCACAGTTACTCCACATAACACTATATGTTGCGAGGTGCTTTGAGGCGTTGTATGAAACGTGCTTTTTTTTTACACGTTCCCAGTTTAGCAGCTCTGGCGCTGTGTGGCTGATTGCTACGCTCTAGAACTCTCTTCCTCCATCCCTCCGCTTTGCCCCCTCCTTCCCCATCTTCAGGTTGCATATAAAGACCTTCATCTTTGACCGCGCCTATGGTCACCTCCCCCTCTCCCCCCTCCACCACCCCCGGCTTGGGTTTTGGGGGTCGTACTCTGCCACTGTCAAGTGCTACCCTGAGTGAGGGGCGCTCTATGTTGTTGTCATTGTTGCACTGGTCAGTTGAGTCCTTCCTGGTTGTTTGCAGAGGGAGAACTGGAGGCAGACTGGCTGCAGGATGCTGGGCTCTCCACCCTGATCAGGGAGCAGAGCGGGGACGATGATGACATAGTGTTGCTCTCCACACTGACCCGCACGCAGGCTGCGGCCGTACAGCGCCGCGTGGAAACCTGCACCCGGTCCATGAGGAAGAAGATCAAACAGCCCGTCAGGGATGTCAGGGACGTCTTCGCAGCTCCTAATTCCACTGTGAGTGCGTGCGACCAGCTTGTCGCTGCCAAATACAGGGTGACCCCCCAAAAAAGCCGTGATAACTACCCTAATTGTCTTTTAGAGAAACAAAAACAAAAATAGCATCATTTCCTTGAGGCTTATTAGACATTGTGATGGTATCACGACGTTTTGGTCACCTGTTCAGTTAAAAAAAATTGACCGCCGCAGCTTGACTCAATTCTAGTCCGATAAAGTCGCATAAAGTCCGACTACACTGTGAACCCAGAGTGTGAACCCGAAGTGAGATCGGTGGTGGCCATTGTATCTCACCCTTATTATTATCATATCATAGCATATATCATAGCGCTCTGATTTTTATGGGCCGGACCAGTGTGTTCAGTACTGTTTTATTCCACCATCTTATTTTGGGGTGGGGGGGGAATTCAAATTGGGATTGAGAGAGAATCTAGCATCGAAATCTCCCAGCGTGTGCTTCCGCCACAAACCATCATCAGCAGACACCACCTACCTCATTTACTCTAGGGCTCTGGAGACTTGCGTTGAGACACCTGAATCTGCACTCCCCGGAATCAGCCAGCAGGCGGCAGCCGAAGTCTGATTTGAGCAAACAAAAACCCTTTGCTTTGTAACTTGTCTTGTTGACTTGTCACGGAACGGGGATCTTTGGCAAAACCGGTTAAATAGGGCAGCTCAATTTCCTGTCCTCTCAAGTCATCCCTTGAGTAAACTTAATCACTGACTGCATGACTCTTTTATGGGACATCTCAGTGTGCAATTGGACTGCCGCATTTTTTCTTGCGAAACACCCAGTCACTGGGCTTTACAGTAAACCCTGTGAGGCGCTTTGAGACATCCTCCTGACGTACTCCTTTATGCACTCTCTAGACTTTTCGAAACAAGTCAGCGTTGCGGTATCTCAACTGTAGATCAGGGTGCCCTTGTACCTCTCACTCCTTTGCCCAGGATGCTTTCAAAAAGAACACCCTCACCTCAAAGACATGTGTGGAATTCGAAATGTCTGCTCTTTTTGTTTTGAGATTACTAAAGAGCTGCTTGCGCAACTTAGCTCCTTTTAATGACATGAAATATAATGATAATCCTTGCAATTCACACAACGCGCCTTTCCTGTCAAGAGGATGTCTCGAAACGGTGCACAGGATTGACTGTAAAGAGCGCATTTGTGAAAGAACTCCGAGATGCTGCCCCCCCAGTGAAGGGAGCTACGTAAATGCAAGTAGTTGTTCTTGTTATAATCTTTGTCAAACATTTTTTAAAAAATTGTCAAAATATTTCCCCGGCTTCCTCCCCGTCCAATTTAGTCAAGTCACAAAAAAATCAGGCAAACCTGCGCCGAATACTCTCTGGAATTAGGTAAATCTGGCAAATTAGGTAAATCCCTTGCCTCCTTCAAGACCCTCCTCTTCAACCGTGCTTTTGATCTCCCTTCTTCCCCCCCTTGACCTCCACCCTCACTGACCTCAACCCCCAGCCCAGCATCCTGCAGCTCTGTCTGTCCAGCGCCTTGGGACGTCCTCCCGACGTGAAAGGCGCTATACAAATGTAATTTTGTTGTTGTTGTTGTTCATCCACCACAAGGAGAGAGAGAAGGTACGGATTTCCATTCCAGACTGTGTGTAGGTGACAAACCCATGTGAAATTCTCAAACTGGTTTGGATACTCTAAAGCACGGTGATGGGTGTTCGCATGTGTCAGACACACGGTCGACCAAAAGAATAAAATGAATGGATTTCCCTCAATGAATATAACCACCTAATGGATGAGGTCTCAGGAGGCAAAATACCAGTACTGTGTGCACACGAGCCATCTGATCTACTCACGGTTTTCAAGGAAATTGGGGAGATAAATTTAGCTGCAGTATGAATGAACTGACTCAAACTGATTGAGTATGTGATACCATGAGCTCATGCTTTTAACAGTTAAGGTAGGGCTGAATGGATACAGGGGCAGCTTTTAAGGATGTAGCACTTGGCAAGTTCTCAGTAATTTTCACATGCCTGACTGACTGACTCAACATCAGTCTGTCAGTGCTTCGTCTCTGAAGTCTTTCACAATGAAATTCCATGCTCCGAGCATTGGGTCATGTTACAGTGATGTTGATTACCAACAGTCTATATTTGTAGGTGTAGCAGGTAAACCGGTCAGTAATGAAACATCCAGAGGCAATGGAGCTTCATTTTGATTGACAGAAGATTCTTATTAGTGGAGTCCTGTAGCTCAGTGGTTGAGCACTCGCTTTGCAAGCTAGAGACCTGAGTTCAATTCCAGGCAGAGGGCGAAACCTTGGGCAGGTTTCCTTACTCCACACAGAGCCTAATAATAATCCCTCCAAAACCAAAAACAATAATAAATTGGTCATTTTCAATCCATGACTGTTTGTGGGACATTGCTGTGCGCAATTGGCTGCCGTGTTTGCCCACAAATATACAGTCAATTCACTTTACAGTGTGTTCTGTGAAGCGCTTTGGGACGTCCTCCCGACGTGAAAAGCGCTATATCAAATGCAAGGATTATTATTATTATTATTATGTCTTTGGAGGCTGTGCTTCCAGAGGTAACAGCCAAAAAGCTTTGACTTGTTGCCTTTGGTTTCCACAATGTATATGCATTAAAGATTCCAGACTCAATGCTATTCTGGAGTCTTGTAGCTCAGTGGTTAGAGCACTCGCCTCACAAGTGAGAGGTCTTGAGTTCGATTCCCGCCAAGTTTCCTTACTCCGCAGGCCTCTGTTTACCTAGCAGCAAGTAGGAACCCGATTGTTAGTTGATTGGCAGATTGCTTTGCCGGAGATAATCCTCAAAAAAAATGTGGTCACTCAATCTGTGACGTTTGTGGAACACTGCTGTGTGCAATTGGCTGCTGTGTTTCTCCCACAAATACACAGTCAATTCACTTTGCAGTATATTCTATGAAGCGCTTTGAGATGTCGAGAAGAAGTGATAAGGCACTATACCAAATGCAAGGATTATTATTATTATTATTATATTCAAACAGAGAATGGAGATTGTCCTGGTGTCCTGGCCAATGCTCTTTTAGATGAATTGGTCAATCATGTTATAGTAATAATAATGATAATTCACACGTTGTCTTTCTCCTTCATACGAGGTCTCAAAGCACTTTACAGGATAAACTGTAAAGTGGAAGGATTGTGTGTTTTGTGGGTGAATGTGGCAGCCAATTTGCATGCAACAGTGTCCCACAACAACAACTTCCATTTATACAGCGCCTCGGTGCTGGGCGACGTCTCCGAGTGCTTGACAACGGCAGAGCCCAAGGCCGAGCCAGGGGGAGGAGGAAGGTGACTGGAGGTGCGATCGAAGATGGGGAAGGAGGGGGCAAGATGAAGAGGTTGAGGGAGGGAGTTCCAAAGTTTTGGGGTGTAGTGGCTGAAGGCACGGACGCTGATGATGGAGCGGAGGATTCGGGGGAAGAGGAGGAGACCGGATCCAGTAGAGCCGAGGCAGGGGGTACTGCTATGAGGAGAGAGGAGGTTAGAGAGATAGGGGGTTGCCAAGGAATGAAGGGATTTAAACTCTAGAGTGAGGATCTTGAAGTCGATCCGCTCTGTGACAGGGAGCCTGTGGAGTTTGGCAACGACTGGGGTAATCGGGGTACGGAGTTTGGTGCGGGTGAGAATACGGGCGACGGAGTTTTGAATGAGCTGGATTTTGTGAATAGTGGAGGGGAGACCGGCGAGGATGGTGTTAGAATAGTCCAGCCGAGAGGTGACAAAGAATACAAGAGTTTCGGCAGCTTTTGGGGTGAGGTATTGTCGGAGACGGGCAATGTGACGGAGGTGGAAGAAAGCGGTGCTGGTCAGGGACCGGATGTGGAAGAGGAAGGATAACTGGGGATTGAACTTGACCCCTAAGTTGTGCATGGGTTCGGAGAGTTTTAAGGACAGGTCGGGTAGGTTGAAGAGGTCGGAACCGTGGGACAGAAGATGTTGGCGGGAGGCAGAGTATGGCTTCCGCCTTGTTGACGTTTAACTGCAGGAAATTTGCGCTCATCTAGTTCTTGATGTCCGACAGACAAGCTGACAGAACGTCAGGGGACTGATGAAGCCAATAAGTGAAGATGGCTGTCTGTGAGACTTTGTCGTCCATTAAAACACGGTCACTACACTTGACAGCAATTCCCTATGAAGCACTTTGAAACACAGTGATGTTGTAGGTGCTCTATCAAATCCAAAAATGAGGATTATTATAATAATATTGATTCCTTCAACAGAAAGCTACAGTGGAAATATATGTCCTTTTCAGGGAGTTTGAGATATTTTACTTTGTGCAGAAGAACCTGGCTAAAGCAGCATCAACAGCCACGAATAAAACACAAAAACTGTCTGGAAAACATGCTGCTATCACTTGAGTCTGAAATCTTTATTATATTTTCACGGATTATGTTTGCAGAGCAGGCATTTGAAACAGCAAGACGTGTCGGACACACAAGCAGAACAGCGTCTCAAGTACCTGCTACCAGAAGAGGACAAAAGCGAAGGTAACAGCACAAGCAAGCTAAACCCTTCCATTTAGAAGGATTGACTGTGAAATTTAATTACCCTCTCCTCATCTATTCTGTTTCTGACAGTTTTTTCGTAGCGTAGAACCGTAGTTTAGGGCTTTGAATAGATTGCGTACAGAGCTTGCAATTTCACCTGCGATCTGTGTTGTTGATCAACAAGAAGAAGGGAGTTTGCTCTCCCAGTGTCCTGGCCAACAATCCCCCAAATAAAATTGGTCACTCACTCCGTGGCTGATTGTGGGATTGGCTGCCGCGTTTCGCCCACAAAATACACAGTCACTCAACTTTACAGGAAATCCAGTGAAGCACTTTGAGACATCTGAATGAAATAATAAGGCACTATATCAAATGTGAGGATTATTATATTACAGTGGAGTTATGGGTTCCTTCTGTTTGAAACTGAAGTTGACCAAAATCTGAAACTGACTAGTATGGGGGAAAAATTAGCCAGTCCATTGACTGCCCTAAATAACATGTTTCCACTGTAACTGAAGCTGTGTGGCTTGGGTTCCCAAATACATCTTTTCCTCTTGTATTTCGTAGCCGACCCTGATAGACAGGAAACCTCGTCACCAGGGCAAGGCTACTCTTCGAAGGAAGAGCTGATCAATTTTGACGTCTCTTACTCTGAGCAAGCGACAGTGTGGCGGAAAAGGATACAAGATGATAAAGAGGCGAGAAAAAGGAAAGACGAGGGGAGTTTACCTGTAAGTAAATACTTTACGTTTGGCTCAGTGCCTTTCACGTCGAGGGGATATCTTGGAGCACTTCACAGGGCTTTCTGGAAAGTGTGTATTTTGCAAGCGCTCACAGCAGTCAATTTGTCAAATACTGTCATGAATAGCTTCATCGTTGGGAAATTTCCTTTTTTGAGTCTCCCTAGAAATCTAAGGGCGGGCGGGGGTGGGGTGGGGTGAAACACTGCGAGGCATTAATGGGGAGAAATGTCACCTGGGTCTAGATTTACTCTTATTTTCAGAACATTTCAGAGCGTCCAGAATATTTGGCAGATTATTAAATTCAGCCGTAATTGTGAAGCCCGTTGTTGTTTTAAGAACTGTGGAAAACTAGCTTCCAAAGGAACAAATTGAAACATTTCTCAAACAGTTCTTTAAATTTTATGATAAACCGGTTTCGCAAGCTAAGACTATGCAGAGCGCAGTGCTGTTGCGAGCCCACAGGCAAGGAACTGGTTAAGGACCCAGCGGCTTAGAGGGGCTAACAGAATACTGAAATCCGCATTTTCCCTTAATCACAGCAATATGTGATCCACAAGAATAAACTGGGAATGACTAGGATGGGGGATCTGTCGCCAGCGGACATGAAGAAAGTTCACACTCTGGCACTCATTGAGCTCACGGCTCTCTTTGATACCTTGGACATAGAGGTGAAGAGGCACAAAGTAGTGAAAGTGAAGGCAGGCGGTATGTATTCAATGTGGGTTCATTGGGGTTGGGGGGGGCTGGCATAGTGGAATTAAAGTAAAGCCATGAATTCATTGACCAGACCCGGAGCAAAAGCAGTTGTAAAAAGCTACATAGTCTGTGGTTGAAGATTACCCGAAGGCGGTAGATTGGCGATGGAGTCAACTGGTTTTGTTGGACACGAACAAAGGAAAGAGAAGCTCAACGGTCCAAATGGGCTATTCTCACTCGCTGCTCCAACCTCTTTCGTGGAGATTAAGTGCCCTGGGCCTAGTAGTGAAATTGGCCCAATAGCTGCTGGGAAACAAATGTGACATCGGCCTGAAAAAATAGTCACTGCAATTGACCGTAATGAAGTGATTACTGTGTACAAAATGTTTAAATGGGATCAAAAAAGTAAAACCCAGATCAGCACTTTAGGGTGTATTGTGACATTAGAACAAGAGGATGTAGGTTTAGAGTTTATGAAGAGCAACTTCAGGACAGACACCAGGAAGTTTTTCTTTATGCAGAGGGTAATTGATGACAGGAACAAATTGCTTGGAAGGGTGGTTGAGGGCAGGACACTGGGACTCATTTAAAAAGCAGCTGGATGCAATGATGGGTGGGATCGTGTTCTTGAAGGATGAGGATAGCTCGGCCAAAGGGCCTTCTTCATCCAAACTGATCTTGCGAAACTCTGAGAGTGGGAATATTGTCTGAAAACTTGAAGCCCTAAAGTGCCACTCAGCCACTTGTGATATTGGATGTTGGTGTCTCTGTGCAGATAACCGGCTGTTTGGGGTCCCTCTCACTCAACTGATTGAAAATGATCAGAAGATTGTTCCCAACATAAAGGTTCCGCTGTTTCTTCAAGAAGTAAGTCTCTTCAGTGGGGAAGATAAATGTAAACAATTAACAATTCTTGGGTGATAATGTTACGGAATGGATGGGAGGGGAGTGGTGGAATGACTTTCATACAAATACACAATCACTACACTCCCCCACTCCTTCCCCACTTTCAAAGCCCTCCTCAAGACTTACCTCTTTGACCATGCTTTTGGTCATCTCAAAATTGCCCGACACACCTTTTCATTATAACGCACAGCACAAGTGCAAATCCTTAACTGCTTAACGTCCTTTCGATGTGAAAGGCACTATATAAATGTATTTTGTTGTCGTCGTTATCTACTCCACCCCCTCACCTACCTTAGCTACCATTTCATGCAACTCAGGTGCCAGTCACTGTGTAAAATGCTTTGAGACATCCTCCCGGCAAGAATGGCGGTGCATAAATGCATTGTAATTGCCTTTGAAGCACTTTGAGATGCTGTGAAGTTGCAGTCGCTGTGTCGCATTGTCTTAATACTCACGTAAACTTTCTCTCTCCATAGTTGCTCTGCTGTCTGGAACAGAAGGGACTGGAAACTGAGGGGATTCTCCGCATATCCGGCTCAGTTGCTCGAATGAAGGTATTGGCGCAAAATAAAGTAAAGTCAAACCAAACTTGATTTTTTTTTAAAAAAAGTGATTTTTTGAAATATATCTTTACTAATAAAGCGACAATGTCTGCCTGCCTGCCTGTGCTTCAAGAAGGATCTCAATAACCAGTTGACGTAGAGACATGATTTATACCTCATTGGAAAGGTCTTCCCCTGGGAGTGACATGGGCATATTTGTTTTCGGGTATCTCCTATCGTTCATGAGTTGTGACCTAAAATGTATTTCAGTTTTGCGTTTTTTGCTGCAGTCACACCTGGTGGCTTCCGAGTCCAAGTGGCGCTGTGGCATCGTGCAGTTACATCTGGTGGCAGCACCGGCTGACCGTGGCACTGTGGCATCCTGTGTCACAGAGCACGCATGTAGCCAAGCGGCGGCGGGAACAAAATAAAGAGCACAGACGAAGCTAAGCCGCGGCAACAACAAAATTACGTTTTTAAAGCATCTTTCACATCAGGAGGACGTTCCAGTGATTATAAATTATACATTTATGTTTATCACTATAAAGATACTTTATCAAGACTCAAGATTGGGCCCAATCGAAAATCTAACTTTTCAAGAATAAGTAAAAATCATAGACAAAAGAGAGAAGGCCAATTAAATGAAACTGAAGAACAAAGAACAGAGCGGCTGCGCTTCAGTGCTGAAAGGGCTGCAACAAAATGAGCTGCCCACTCAAAGAACTGCATGGCCAAAATGAATCCTCCCACAGGAGTCCTCCTAGATACATATAGATAAAGATGAAATGTCTGTCTGTCTATCTATCTGTGTGCCAATCTACATTCTACATTAGATTCTTTGATTGTAAACCTAACTGCAACAGGTACAGCTAGTATATTTATATATATATATTTGCAGATTGCAATATTCAATGCTTTCCCTCAAATCGTCCCCTCAAATTATTTTTTCCCCCACAGAATTTGCAAAAGGAACTTGAAGAAAACTTTTACCAGAAAACATTTGACTGGGAGAAGGTCAACCAAAACGACGCAGCAGGTTTGCTGAAGATGTTTATCCGTGAAATGCCTCATCCTTTGTTGACGACGGAATATCTGTCTGCGTTCGCGGCAGTCAAAAGTAAGAACTTGTCCTTTTTTTTTGTTGGTTTTGTGGCTGCAAGATTTAGTTCAGTATTTTTAATTAAATAGCATTATTATCAAGGATTAGAGGTTCTTTTTTCTGTCTTAAGGAAAGCCTTGTTTGCTTCTTTGTATTTTTAGTTTGTTCAAAATGGCATTTTATTCAGATGCTGTCATATGTTCCTGCCGTTTGCAGATATTACTGATCACAAGCAGAGGTTGCATGCTCTAAATCTCCTTGTGCTGATCCTACCAGAACCAAATAGGTGTACGCTGAAGGTAGGCTTATCTGCCTTGTTGAATCCTTAACTATAGATGTACTATATGTATGGCTACATGTGTGAGTGCTCATCATAAGAACATAAGAATTTGAAAGAAGACCAAGGTCCATCCAGTTCACCTTCCATCTTGCTCCCTCTTACCTCTGCAACCTCCTAACCCCCTACCATCCTGCTTGCTCCCTCCGCTCAGCAGGCTCCAGCCTGCTTCACGTCCCCCGCCTCGCTCGCCCCACAATTGGGCTGGCTTTTTGCCACTCTGCCCGTATCCTCTGGAACTCCATCCCATAGTCCCTCCGCCTCGCCCACTCCTTTACCTCCTTCAAGACCTATCTCAAGACCCTCCTCTTCGACCGTGCTTTCGATCTCCTTGATTCAGCCCCCTGCCCTCCGCTCTCCCCGACCCCTCCGGCTCGGCTCCGGAACACTGCCTGTCCGGCACCTTGGGATGTCCTCCCGACGTGAAAGGTGCTATACAAATGTAATTTTGTTGTTGTTGTTCCATTGGTCATGCAATACAATCTTGGGATACAAACTATACACTGTATCCCAAGAATATTATTTTGTAAAAGAAATGTATCTAATTTGTTTGTGAAAGGATCGACACTTTTGCTTCCACTGTATCCCTAAAATCATTCTTTGAACTTCCATCTATTGGAACCATTCAGCGACCCCCAAAGAAATTCTTCACCTCCTCACCTACAAACTCAGAGCAAGATGTGTACAGACTTTTAGTAGAGTTTCTCATTCCCCAATCCCAATCGGACACAAACACAAGAGAGGTTCGATGAAGAAAGTGGGATCTTCGATCTTCCCCCATCTCCTGCCATTCCAATACTGTGCTTCCTGCAGTTGTGTTGTCTATACTCCAGCTTTTATGTCATGTCAAACATCTCAAGATTTCTGAAAGCACTTGAACACTGTAATGGGGATGATCCTGTTCTTTGTATGAATTAAGAATTGTCTGACATGTTAATGAATTGTTAAAGCATGTAAAGCTTGCGATTTTCCCTCCTCCAGTTTAAAATGCACTCTCCTCTTTGCTGCAGTGCCTGTTAGAGTTCCTGTGCAAAGTGATAGGAAAGGAAAAGAAAAACAGGATGAACCTCTGGAATGTTTCCACCATCATTGCGCCAAACCTTTTCATGCACAAAGGAATTCTGAACAAGATTCCCGATGGGAAAGAGAAGCAGCAAGCGGAGAAGGCTGCCGACATTGTACGGATGCTGACCCATTACCAGGATATCCTCTGGATTGTACGTTGACTGCCTATTACCTAACTGAGAACTGTTATAATGTGCTAAAATCCCAACTCGCGGGATACTATAACCAGCGATCGGTGGTAGGCTGCTTCCGTATTCATTTTGCATTCCCGCAGAAAGACTTCAATGATGGCCGGGGGGCCAAGGGAGAGGATGGTCGACTCCCAGGTCATTGTATTGTACAGAAGGCCAACGGTCTCGCGATACACAACCTAACCTACGTTAGGTTGGGCATTCGCCTGCTGCACATACAATGTGCCCGCGTTATAATGAAGTGGGGTATAACGGCTTCCACTGTTCAAGGTCCAAAATTCCGTTCAGTCCTGGCCTGTTTTCAGACCATTTAATTTTACAATCTTTAAGGGAAAATCCTTCAATTCGGCATGAATTTGGAAGCCGCTTTCTTTTTGACATCTGCCATGGGGAGGAAAATAGCTTCCAAATTAAGAATGAATTTAATAATTTTTCGCAGTTCTTATATTTTAAAACAAATAGTTTTTTTTCCCCTACAGATTAAAAGTAGGAGGAATTTCTGACCTTTAATGTTTAAATGTAGGAATGTGCATGTTAGGCTTTTGTTGCCGGACACCATATCACGGCTTATTAATTAGAATAAAATAATATTCCTTGCATTTGTGGAGTCCTGTAGCTCAGTGGTTAGAGCACTCGCTTTGCAAGTGAGAGACCTGAGTTCAATTCCAGGCAGAGGGCGAAACCTTGGGCAAGTTTCCTTACTCCACACAGAGCCTAATAATAATCCCTCCAAAACCAAAAACAATAATAAATTGGTCATTTTCAATCCACGACTGTTTGTGGGACATTGCTGTGCGCAATTGGCTGCCTCATTTCGCCCACAAATATACAGTCAATTCACTTTACAGTATACTCTGTGAAGCGCTTTGAGACGTCGAGAAGATGTGAAAAGCGCTGTATCAAATGCAAGGATTATTATATATTATATTCAAAATAGCCTTCCACGTTGGAGAGAGCCCAACTCAAAGTGCTTTGCAGGATTTCACTGTGAAATGTTAGTGGCTACGCGTTTCTTGGTTGGTGTCCTGGCCTAAATATTGCACACAAAATATACAGTCAATTCACTTTACCGGTATATTCTGTGAAGTGCTTTGAGGCATCTCGAAGGCGCTATTTCAAATGCAAGGATTATTATTGTTGCCCTAGATTCTCTTCTCATTGAATCATAGAATCTTACAGGGCAGAAGGAAGCCATTTGGCCCTTCGTGCCTGGGCCTGCTAACCAATTAGTCCCATTCCCCCAGCTGTTTCTCCCGCCTGAACCCCCCTACCATCGGTGGCCGGGTTTTGAGCCTCTCTGCCCCCACCCTTTGGAACTCCATCCCACAATCCCTTTGCCTTGCTGCCTCCTGTCTCCTTAAAGGTACAACTCAAGACGCTCCGCTTTGACCGTGCCTTCAGCCGCCCTCCTACCTCTCTGCCCTCCCTCATCCAAACCCTGCACCCCCACCCACACTCGGGTCCTGATCCCCGATTGTTCAGCGCCTTGGGATGTCCTCCTGAAAGGCGCTTTAGAAATGTAATTTTGTTGTTGTTTCCGCATAGCCTTGCAGAGTTGCTTTCTTTTCAAGTGCCTGTCCAACAGCTTCTCTTCTCTTCTGTTAGATCCCATTCTTCCTGGTGGCTCAGGTGAGGAAACTGAACGAGAACAGTAGCAAGCGCTATCAGTTTTATGACAAACGGCTGAAAAACCTTCTGCGCAAGATCCACACGGAAAAAGACAAGCAGGAGAAGCAAAACACAGTGAGTCGGTCGCCTAGTGCCTTTTTATTGCATAATAATCGATTTTTTTGCAGCCCATTCCCCTCTCGATCAGATAATTCTCTGTGTCCGTGCGGTTGAGGCTGTTGCTTGCTCAAACTGATTGATTGTTTTCCTGCAACCTCAAATTACCATTGACCCCAATCTCCTCACTGACGAGGGCTGACAAGTTTGCATCTATAATAATTCCCCTATAAATACATCAGGCACATGCTGTAGAGCTGATACAATCTCAGTGTGTTCCTTTTGGAAAATGATTTGGGGAAAAACAATTGCCCTCCTTTGTGAAATGACAGCTCCCCACAATAAATCAGGATGGTTTATTTTAATGAAATAAAAGATAAATCTTTACTTATCTTTAAGTAAATAAAGATTTATCTTTATTTCATTAAAATAAACTTATTGATTGTTTATTAAAACAATAAGGGAGGTGGGGTGGGAGAGGGAGGAGGGGAATAACCCCTTATCTCGCTACGATTTCTCTGCTGTTGCTGCTTTTCAGCCCAGCAAAGCTTTGTTGACCATTAGTGCTGGAAATAATATTATAAAGTATTTTACTATACTCTGGCTGTTTGGCTCAGTGTAATGTAGCAATGTACAGCTATGTATCACGGTGATTGTGATTGTCTTAGTCCTATTGTAGTGGGAACAAGGTATAGGGGTAGTCCCAGCTGCTCACCATTGTAACATACCAACAAAATACCAAATCATTTTACCGGCACATATAGCCTCAGCATAGCTAAGGCTCAGTGGGATATAGTGTGAGTCACCAGGAGCAGGGATTCTTCCCACTTAGCTCCTCTTAACCCTGCAAGCCAAAGCCCTAATGGTTAGGGTGTACAAATGTATGTTGTTGTTGTTATTCGGGTAGTCTTAGCTCGATAAGCAGCGGTAATTTTGCCAGAACAGTCAGTGTTCTGAATGTCAAGCTGTGTGGTTTTAGCTGGTGGAACTCCAGCAACATCCCAAGCCTTGGCTCTTGCCCTTAATACTCTCCGGAATTATGTAAGCAAAGGGTACTGTAGCTCAGTGATTGGAGCACTCGCCTCGTGAACAAGAGACCTGGGTTCGATTCCCGGCAGGGCAAAACGTTGGGCAAGTTTCCTTACTCCATACGCCTCTGTTTACCTAGCAGTAAGTAGAAACCCGGATTTTAGTCAACTGGTGGATTGCTTTTCCAGGGATAATGATTCCTTCAAAAAAATAATAATAATAAATTGGTCACTCAATCCACGACTGTTTGTGGGACACTGCTGTGCGCAATTGGCTGCTGCGTTTCATCCACAAAATATACACAGTCAGTTTACTTTACAGTACATTGTGTGAAGAGCTCTTGAATACGTGATAAGGCACTATATCAAAATGCAAGGATTATTATTTATATTATATCCCTCCAGGGAGAGAGAGTACACATTCCATTTCAAACGCCGGAAGAGTTCCATGTGTAGGTGACAAGCATACGTGGAACTTTTTTTGGCTTGGATAGTCTTAAGTACAGCGATGAGTTTCTGCATGTGTCCTTTGTTAACCATAACAATTAAAAGATTCTCTCGCCAACTTCTAGAAGATCATGGCTGATCCGTACCTCAAGTCCAATTACCCGCCCTTGCCCCATATCCATTAATACCCCAAATTGCTGGCATTCTCGATCATCAGATTTGATGGTTTCTTCCGGCAGAAAGAGATCTACTCATCAGATAGGTGCGTTGGGACTGTCACTGTATGGATAGATCTATTTGTGAATATTGTTGGACATAGCTTATGGAGAAAGCCATTCAGCCTGTCCAGCCTGTTCTGCTATTCTATAAGATCATGGCTAATCTGTACCTCAAGTCCAATTACCCGGCCTTACTCCGTATCCCTTAATATCCTGACCTAAGAAATATTTGCTTTCAAGTCGGGAGGACATTCAAAAACACTTCAGATGATATACTATGAAGTGCTTTGACTCTGTGTGTTCACACACGCGTGTGTGTGTGCTGTGGGCTATCGAACATAAATAATGTGTGTATTGTTTTTGTTTTACATTGCCAACAGTTTAACAAGATAAGAATTCAAGCTCCTCAATTGTTGAAAGATACGCTGGAAGTTTGCCTAGAGCGTGAGATGACCACTCGCAATCTCGTGCAGCACTTTCATAAACATCTGCACCAGGACAGCTGGGATCCGTCCAACAGTTGTAAATGGTGATTATTTCCAAATCGAGCTGACATTTCCGGTTCCTGTGCGGAGTTGGTGTTAATGGCGATGCTTCGGGGCATCACCAAACAAAGTGTATTTTAATTGGAAACCTGTGTGTGGGGTTAATTCCACCCGGGGCTGGATCTACTCTATTTATGCAGCGTTTTAGATTGTCCGGATTCTGGCAAACTGTTCAATTCAGTCTTCACTTCAAAGACAGTTCTTATGCAATGCACTACAATGAACATTGATATCACGGCTTTCACCTTGGGAAGACGTCTCAAAGCGCTTTACTATGCTGGCTGGGCATAGGGGTGGGGGTGGAGCACAAGACGGTGAGGAAGGGAAAGATGACCAAAAGTACGGTCAAACAGTTTTGAAAGAAACTTGCAGATTATTATATTAGAATCATAGCACAGGAGGCCATTCGGCCCATCGTGTCTGTACCGGCTCTTTGAAAAGAGCTAGCAAATCAATCCCTCTCCCCCACTCTCTCCCCATGGCCCTGCAAACTAGTCCTCCCCAAATAATTATCTAATAATAATAATAATCCTTGGATTTGATTAAGCGCGTTATCACGTTTTCGAGATGTCTCAAAGTGCTTCACAGAATATACTGTAAAGTGAATTGACTATATACTTTGTGGAAGAATAATTATTATTTATAATCGCTGCTCATGCCTATATGTTTTTTTTATTGTAGCAATGGATCCACGGATTCCTCAGAATTCTACTTGTATGAAGTTGGTGGTAATATTGGTGAGTGATGTGCTACTGCAGACAGTTTGGGAGGATGGGTTTGCAGGCTTATGGGGAGAGCGCGGGGCAGTGGGATTGATTTGGCTCTCTCTTTTCAAAGAGTTATGGGCCGAATGGCCTCCTTCTGCGCTTTATAATTCTATGATTCTATGGTGTTCTCAGTGGCCAATCTACTTGGTTTTAGTTGGTTTAAAGCCGGAACACACCCTCTGGGGCTCCCCAAGCCTTGGCTCTTGCCAACCTGTCCCTGATCCTTTCCAGAATTAAGTGAGCAGCACAGGTGGTACTGGAGAAAGAACCCACATCCCATTTCCAGGCTCAGGGCAATTTCCGTCTTAGATGATGTGCAAAAGTGGAGCTCTCAGGCTGGTTTGGAGGTTATTCAGGATGGTGATGGGTTTCCGCATGTGTCAGACACCCAGCGAACTAAACATAATTTACTTAGGGTGAACTGCCCTTTTTTACATTAGGGAGGTGGGTGGGGCGGGTCTCTAATCGATATTCTTGCAACAATACTAATTGGGATGGTCATGTCTATTCCACTAGGTGAACGTTGCCTTGATCCGGACACGCACATATTTGACCTTCTAAAGGTTAACCCACAAGCCGAATGGATTATGAAACAACATCAAAAGCCGAAAGAAAGCTAACTTGCGACCGTTTGTCATCGAGATCCAAAACAAAGAAAAGAGAGTTTGCTGATTGAACGCTGATTGTCGAGGACACTTCTATAAAGCTCACACCTTCACTGAAGTGACTGTGCAGCTATAGTGTCTGTGCAAGGCACATCTTAGAAGAAACTCAGCTGGAAAAGTACAGATCAGTTGTAAGAAAAGAGGCACTTTTACCGCTGTTTGAAAGTGAAGTAAAATCAGCTTTTTTGTTAGTCGGTTTGTTAACGTGAGAGATTTGAGAACTTGACATTTCTACAAAATATATATTTAACCTTGATTATTTTTATGCACGGGGGAGGGAGGGAGGGACGAGAGAAGACTCATTTAGTAAGCACTGCCAAATGCTGTCAGAAAAAGATCCTGTGATATGGGAAATAGAAGCTCGCCCTATTTCTCACTGTGAAAAATCTCTGGAATGTTTATGTGTTTTTTTTGTTTGGATACTATTTTTAAAACCCTCGGACAAAGTGATTAGCATAAAAAAANTGAAGGCAGAGAAAATGGATGGCCCAGACTTTTGTGCCAAAACCACATTTAATACATTGATGTACCACATCTGAAAAAAAAAGCTAGTAAGTATTAATCGGTATCTCCCAATCTATTTCTCATGAAAATTCAATTAGATTAGCTTGATCATTAGCCTGGACGACAAACTGGGATTATGCTTGGCACTTTACAGTTTTAGACATGCAGTCTGTGATTTATCCAGCGTTTTAAAAGAAATGCAGTTCTTTATATAAATGCAGTAACCAACAGGGCTCTTGACGATTGGGAAAAAAATTCCATCTGGATGTAATCTCCTTTGTCGTCGTTGATTTTTCTGCAAGGTTCTTTTGAGAACTGCGGAAAGCCGACTCAACAGTCAAGACGGAAATCAACAGGTTGCCAAATTCTGCACCCTCTGAAATGGCTGATGCCACAGGAATCAAACGAATCAAATCGAGATCTGGGTGGAATCCCACTCCCTATATCATTAGTTGAAACCTGCGTGTCGTGTATTGCGTTTTCCTTTTACACTCCTGCCCTTTTTTGTTAGATTTTTACTGTTCAATGTGAATACTTTTATACCTGGTATGTTTTTTTTTCTATGTATCGCGACCACTATAGCTCTAAGAATATTTTATATTTTAAGGTAGTTTTGTTTGAACAGCCGCCCCCTTCAACATGCCACCTTGTGAATCGGTGAATTATTTCCCAGAAGATTAAAGAATGTCATCTTTGCAAACGTATTTCTGCTGTCATTTTCATTGCAGGTCTTGAAGTCGTTGCCATTGGCAAACATCAGTGTAAACTGATGATCAATCCATTAGCACTGGGATCACTTGTGTTTCACACAACACCTCATCACAGTGAACCAGACCAAAGTGCATCCAGACTTTGTCACAGTGTCTCCATCTGGTGGTAGATGGTAAAATAGCGCGCATGCCTGACAAACTGAACAACAACAGCAACATTACACTTAGAGAGCGCCTTTCACTTTGGGAGAACAACATCACTATAATAATAATAATCCTTGCATTTGATATAGCGCTTTTCACGTCTTTTAGATATCTCAAAGTGCATCACAGAATATACTGTAAAGTGAATTGACTGTATACTGTTCCCACCCCTTTAAAAACAGCCGTCATCACTCCTATCCTTCAAAAACCCTCCCTGGACCCATTCCTGCTCTCAAACTACCGCCCCATCTCCAACCTCCCTTTCCTCTCCAAGGTCCTGGAACGAGTTGTTGCTTCCCAGCTTCGCTCCTTCCTCTCCCACCACTCCCTTCACGATTCCCTCCAATTGGGTTTCCATGCCGCCCACAGCACAGAAACAGCCCTGGTCAAAGTGATAAATGACACTCTGTCCAACTGTGTCCGGGGCTCCCTCTGCCTCCTCGTCCTCCTTGACCTCTCTGCTGCCTTCAATACCGTTGACCACTCTATTCTCATCCACCGCCTCTCCTCTCACCTCAACCTTCATGGTTCTGTCCTTGACTGGTTCAGATTGTACCACTCACACCGTCTCCACTTCATTTCCACAAACGATTTCTCCTCTAGCCCCCCCACAGCCTTGTGTGGCGTTCCTCAGGGCTCTGTCCTTGGTCGCCTCCTCTTCAATATCTATGTGCGCCCTCTTGGTGACATCATCCACAGACATGGGGTCAACCTCCACGTGTGTGCGGATGACACTCAACTCTATCTCTCTGCCTCCAGCCTTGACTCCAGGACCACTGCTGTCCTGACAAAATGTCTGTCAGGCACCAAGTCCTGGATGAGAGCTAACTTTCTTCAGTTGAACGTCAACAGTGCCTCATGAGGGGATTTGATAGGTTAGAAACGGAAAAACTGTTTCTTCTGGTGGGTGTGTCGGTGATTCGAGGTCACAGAATTAAAATAGTCTCTAAAAGAAGCAGAGGGGAGGTGAGAAGAAATTTTTTCACGCAGCGAGTTTTCGAATCTTGAACGCATTGAAAGGGCGGTCGAGGCCGATTCGATAACTACTTTTAAAAACGCGGTGGACGGGTATTTGAGGAGGACGGGTTTGCAGGGTCATGGGGAAAGGGCTGGGGAGTGGGATTGACATTACATTGCTCTTTTCAAAGAGCCGGCACAGACTCGATGGGCCGAATGGCCTCTTTTTGTGTTGTACGATTCTATGATTCACACCTCAGGTGCTGACAGCATCACCATCCAAGGATGCACAATCCACTTTCCTAAGCCAGTCTGGAACCTTGGCGTCTTGTTTGACCCTCACCTACCCTTTCCACCCCACATCCATGCCATGACCCACTCTGCCTTCCCCCACCTCCACAACATCGCCCGGCTCTGCCACTGTCTCACACCTCAGGCTGCCAAGGCCCTCATACACGCATTCATTACATCCAGGCTTGACTATGCACACTCCCTACTTGTCGCACCAGACACCGTGACCCTATCGGGCCCATCCTTGGCTGATTCCACTGACTTCCCATCACACAGAGGATACAGTTCAAGATCCTGCTTCTCACCTTCATGGCCTCGCTCTCCCTTACCTCTGCGATCTCCTAACCCCCAACCGTCTTCCCCACTCCCTCCGTTCAACGGGCTCCGGCCTGCTTCACGTGCCCCGCTGCTTCATGTGCCCCGCCACATGGTGGGTGGGTCTTCTGCAACTCTGCCCCCACCCTCTGGTACTCCGTCCCGCAATCCCTCCGCCTCGCCCCCTCCCTTGACTCCTTCAGGACTCATCTCGAGGCCCTACTCTTTGACTGGGTTTCGATCACCCTCCTTGTCCACTGCCCTCCAATCTCCCCATTCCCAGCTTCCCAGCTCGGGTCTGAAACACTGACACTCCTGCGCCTTGGGACATCCTCCTGACGTAAAAGGCGCTATACAAATGTAATTTTGTTGTTGTATATTTTTGGGCAAAACTTGACAATTGTGCACAACAGCGTCCCACAAACAGTCGTGGATTGAGTGACCAAATTATTATTGTTTTTATTGAAGGATTATTATCCCCAGAAAAGCAATCTGCCAATTGACTAACAACTGAGTTCCAATTTACTGTTAGGTAAACAGAGGCATGTGGAGTAAGGAAACTTGCCCAACATTTCACCCTGCTGGGAATCAAACCCAGGTCTCTTGCTTGCAAGGCTGGTGCTCTAACCACTGAGCAAAACAACTCCATTTGATAATCCCTACATTTGATGGAACACCTTTCACATCAGGAGGGCATCACAAAAAGTGTTTCACAAGAATACCTGTAATGTGCAGCGACGTGTATTTGTAGATGAACATAGCAGCTAATTTGTGCACAGTAACGTTCCCACAAACAGTCAGCCGTGAAGTGAATGATCAATTTTATCTGGGAGATTCTTGGCCAAACTATCCACACGGGATAGTTTGAATCCACCTAAATAGGCACAGGTGGAACCACAGAACCATTGAACCCTGCTTATAATGTGCTTGTTGAAGACATGGCTGAAAATGTGACTGGGTTGTGGACCGTGACATTTTCTTACCTTTAAAAACCTAGGAGCCCCACATTGTGCAATCCAAATAAATCTGTCAGCGCGTTTCAAAACACTCCAGTCAGCGAAGGTGCTTTTGATGACAATAGAGTACTTGCCTACAAACGTGATAGAATTGGAGGGTTCCACGGTAAGGAGGATGGCAAGGTCAGAGAAGGGGCGCAGTGGTATGTACCAATTCAATCTGCTGTATAGCCAATTGTGCAACTGATTTGATTCATTGATTGATAAACATATTCACCTGATTGTTACACCTGCAGTGCATTTGATGTTCAATTGTTATTGTTAACGGCTTTAGTGAGGGATAGTCTCAGAGAGCATTTTGCCCAGTCACTGGCAACGAGAAAAGTGGTGATCCCTATTTTAAGGATTTTGTGTTTGCTTTTGAAATGGTATTAAACAAAATACACAAAGTTATACCATGGGAACAGCAACGGAATTATATTAACCACAGCATACAAGAAAAGAATGAGAGAGACTGGGTACAAATCCCACGCTTTTTCTCAATCCAATCGTATTTATCATGGGGAGAGCAGGAAAAAATGGAGCCCAAACCTATCCTGATAGCACACGTCTTTAAACCTTAGCTATGTTTTCATTGAGGATGGAGAGCTTCTTCAATGAAGATGAATATTCAAACAGGTTCTGGTCAGTGCTTTGGATTTTTATTCAACCTTAGTCCACAGTCACAATGGTTTAGTCTCATTCTTTCAGAGCGTCCACCCTCACAGTACAGCATTGATGTTTTATTTAATCCTGTCCTCAACCACTTTTCCAGGCAACCTGTTATATTTGTTAATTGTCTTCTGTGTAAATAAATACTTTCTGGTGTCTGTCCTGAACTTGCAACCCTAATCCTGTGAACAATTGTTCTACTTTTTCAGTGCTTCTGAAAGTATTGTTCTGGGTTTCATTTCACAATCCCGTTTAAAATCTTTTAAATACATCTGTGAGTCACCTCTGAAAGTTTGCTTTTTGATACTGAAGACCCCTGCTTGTTTAATTGCTCCTCTAACCCAGGGAATCCTGATTGCTCTCCTCTACACAGTCGAATCTGCCTGGATGTTTGGTTCTCTGCAAATAGATAAAAGTTACAGATTGTTGGCTACTCATGCAGATTCCAGGTAGGATAATAGAAGACTTAGAAAGATTCAGATTCATGCTTTTGATGATGACAGAGAGAGAGAAAATTTCAAACTATCAGTGGGACTGTGAGACTGAATGACAATATTGCCTTATTCTCTACATCAGTATTGGTGTCTTACCTTTCCAAACAGGATTTTACTTTGAATATAACTTTGGTTTAACCTTATATACAATAGACTGCCTGAGCTTGACATAAACTGCAATGTGACTAAGTGTAATAAAGCAATGACCCAGGCTTTGATGCGTAACAGTGTTCAGTGCGTAAATTCAAGTTTAATTTGATTCAGATTATAATGTTCAGCACAAAACAGAGTTTTACTTATAAACAAAAGTATTAGCCCAGTGATCTTGAAACCATGCTATAATAATGCATGGCACACCAAGGGTTAAATGACAAAGTCCGTAAAGTACTGATTATTGGATTATTGCTGGGGGAAGTGTTTCGGAAAGAAAGCAATGTTTGTTTGATGCCTTCGGCCACCCTCCTAACCTCCCTGACCGCCAGCCTCCTTGATCCAAACTCCTCTGCTCAGGTCCAAATCCCTAACTGTCCAGCGACTTGGGACATCCTCCAGACGTGAAAGGCGCTATACAAATGTACTATTGTATTGTATTTTAGGCTTAGATGCAAAGTCGCAGAGTGAAACCTGGTGCCTGGCACTTGCCAGGGTTGATTGAGGTTCCCCTTGGGTATGACCTGGTTTTCTTGAAATGGGAAATTACTGGCAATTTCACAGTCTCATCGGAGACCAGCAGCTCGGCTGCGTTAAATGAGCAGAGGCTGCGTAATTTACTCTTTGTACCAGGCGAACCAGGCCTGAAGGTGACCTGAAGGTCCCGCAGGAAACCCTTAGAGGCGAAAGGTAAAATGCCCTTCGCTGGAGGAATCTGCAATTGTTTACCATATTCCAGTCACCGAGCACTTTCTTTCAGCATGTTTTCTTTGCTATTTTGCTTAGTTTTAGCAATTGGTTCCATTACCAGGTTTTTTTTGCATTGAAAGCTAATGCTCTTGATATAGCGTCCTCAGTTGCTCAGTTGGCTGAGCACTGGAATTAGCGCCTGAAGGTTTCTGGGGTTTG